TGATAAATCACAAACTAAAACTGCATTCCAGTTAGCAACGCAAAAAGGAAATAGAAATGAAATAAATATTGAACAATTTGCACAGACCGAAAATCAATGTACTGCAGCATTTCCAACAGAAATAGATGAGGCAGAATCTATAAGATATATTGAAACGCTCGTCGATGATGATTTTCAATTACATAAATGTAACGTAGAATTTGACGATAAAGTTTCATCAGTGACTGAAGAGTTTGTACTTGATACTACTAAACAATGGGTTCTGAAGTATAGACATTTATTAAGCCAACGGGCCATTAACGATTTGTTGCAAATTTTACGAGTGCCATATCCAAAGTTTCCTGCAGACTCGCGTATTCTTTTAAAAACACCAAATTCGTGCCCCTATGAAATAATTAATATGCCCCCCGGTTTCTATTGTCACATCGGTATAGAGAATACAATTCGTAGACTCATCAATGACAGTATTAATATGCAAAATTTCTTATTACAAAATTCAGAACCAGTATTACCCATTAGTATAAACATAGACGGATTACCGATTTCAAACAGTTCAAAAAGTCAATTTTGGCCAATTTTGATTTCTCTAGATGTAGATTCAATTAGTCAAAATGCGTCAAAACCTTTTGTAGCTGGAATTTACCACGGGCACTCAAAACCAGCTGATGTTAATCAATTTTTAAGTAAATTTGTTACAGAATTTAAACATTTGCAAGATAATGGATTTCATGGATGGTTTAACACATGTAATAAAACTGTTAAAATAAAGGTCAGTAAATTACTTTGCGATGCTCCAGCTAAATCATTCGTTTTATGTACGAAAGGTCACACTGGATTTTACAGTTGCACTAAATGTACTCAAAGTGGTACCTTTATTAATAACCGACTAGCTTTTCCAGATACCAATGTAGACTTACGAACTGATGCAAGTTTTAAAAATAAATTAGATGATGAATTTCATAAAGGTACAACTCCTCTTAAAAATATTAACATTGGGTTAGTTTCACAAGTACCCCTTGATGGTATGCATCTGGTATTTCTCGGTGTAATGAAAAAACTGATAATGTTTTGGGTACGAGGACCAAAAAACATTCGTTTTATTGATGATGAGAAAAAAGCCATTAACGATCAAATATTATTTTTAAAGAATTATGTACCTAAAGACTTTGGCCGCTTACCAAGAAGCTTAGATGACATAGAGTACTTTAAAGCTGCTGAACTAAGACAATTTTTGTTGTACATTGGACCGATCGTTTTACAAAATATGAGAAACAAGAACATGTATACACATTTTATGACATTATCATGCGCTATTCGCATTTTATGTAGTCCTGCATTATATTCAGTTTATAATGATTATGCTTTGCAACTTATTCAGTATTTTGTTCAAAAATATTCAGTTCTTTATGGTCCTGAGTTTATCAATCATAACGTACACGGCCTCATTCATTTACCTGCAGACTGCTTGTTGCACGGTCCACTAGATACATTTAGTTGTTTCAAATATGAAAATTTTCTGTACGAAATAAAACGAAAAATTAAAACAACAAAACACCCCTTACAACAAATTTGTAACAGACTAAAGGAAGAAGAGCAGAAAAAGAAACAAGACGACAAGACTTATCCGATTTTACATCAACAAAGTAAAGTGCAAATTATTGATAAGGAAAGATGTATATTCTACAAAAAAGTGGATTTTGGAAAATATGAATTCAGCACAGAAAATAAAGAAAATTGCGTCATGCTTAGGGACAAGTCTGTACTATGCGTAGACGGTATTTTCCAAAACACTAACACACTGGAAATGTTCATAACGGGAAGAAAATTTACAGAATCAGCAACGTTTTTAAGTTACCCTGTTCTTCTGAACTATTTAATGTAAAACAAGTACAAAATATTTCTGAAGATACGTATACTGTTAATATTAGCGAAATTCAAGCAAAATGTGTAAAATTTCTACACAAAAATAAGTTTATAATTATGCCATTAATTCATACACAATAATAATAACAAATATTTAATAGTAATATTTAATAATAGTAATTATAATAATAATATTTAATAATTAATTAATAATTACACAAAGGATCTCTGCCATTTAATTTTAATTAATATATAATACATCATGTAAAACCAGTAAATAATTTATACTTATTTGAATTTAATTTTATCTCAATGTTTAAAGTCGATAATATTTATTCTAAATAATTATTTGAAATACAACATATTTTATAAATTATTAATGGAACCTAAGGATTATATTTATTAAATCAATATAAATGAATAATATAATTATATGGTACAAGAAGAAGGTTCTTTCACATTTTGCATTTACTTATTCTGATATTTTTATTCATTTTTATTACAAATGAAATTTGTGTTATTTCAGTTTCTTTGGTCTGTAGTCGAATTTGCAGAGAATTCCGAAGAAACGACTGCAGTAGAAGTCGTTCCGACAACATGGGTAACAATTTTAAACAACGAAATTACATGCAAATGGCCTGAGAAAAACATCCGCAGAGCAATCAAGAAACGAACAGCCCCATTAAGTTCTTGGGAAACTTGGAATATAAGAAACATCTTTTGCAAACTGGTAATCTTTATTGTTATTAATATTACTATTTTTATTTCAAAAGACTAATAAATATATGTAACGAATTCATACAATTTTGTACACAGCATTAATATATATATATATATATATATATATATATATATATATATTAATGCTGTGTATTGCAGGTGATCACCCGGACACCTTGTATATACATATTATATATATTTGTACACAGCATTAATATATATATATATAATATATATCTATCCTAAAAAAATCATAAAAATGAAAAGGTCAGGCCATGTTCAAAAGAAAGTACTCAAAAATTTAAACGATCTAATAATAAATTATCACGAAAAGTAACTGATATGTTATTCAAGGTGCCAGTTCAAAGTGAACATACGTAAAGTGTATATTATCTAAATTTAGTAATAATATATTACCATGAAAAGTAACTGTGATATTTTATTCAAGGTGCAAGTTCACATTGAATATACATACATATAAGTAAAACTGATTACAATTTGATTCTAGAAAATAAGTGCGATATGTTATTCTTAGTGCACAAAATATAATAGTCGTTTATAGAGATTTGATTTGAAATTCATACTAGCCCGTACAATGAAAAATAATTGCTCGTAATTCCAGAGTACCAATTTGTTAATGACTCAGAAAAATAACATGGCGGCCTGCTCTCAAAAAACTTTCGATGGGTAGAATAAATAATTGAAATAAGAGTTGTGAAAATTGTATAAATTAAAAACCTCCAATCTTTCTTTAGTAAAATTTCGAATTTTTGTATCAATTTCCGATTTGTGTTATATCGTATTTTCAGGAAGTAAGTTATTGATCAGAAAACTTTGCCTTGTTGCTCGAAACGGGTGTATATTAAGTAAAATTTATAAATGTACAGTTCTCAGGTCAACTACAATAAAGCTATACGCTTAAAAAGTTTACTGATTATTTGTCGTAATATACAATAAAAAATTACATATTAATTATTCAAGATACAAGTGAGAAATAAATATCATTAAAATATACAAAAAAAATTTATCAATTTGACTCTGAAAAGTAAGTGACATGGTTCTCAAAGTGCAAGGTTTCATTTGACTTACAATTTTCTTCAGAAACACAGAAGAAAAAGGTATTTGTATATAGTTTTGTATATTCACTTCGTTGTGTGTGTAGAGCTTTTAAAATACGTTGAATCCTTATTCTAATCTAATCTTCTTCTAATGTAATACTTTTCGTATTTCAAATGTTGTAGTAATTATTCTGTAAGAGCTTTGACATTATTTCTAAATGGACATCGAGAAACATCATAGTTTTTTGAGAGCAGGCCGCCATGTTATTTTTCTGAGTCATTAACAAATTGGTACTCTGGAATTACGAGCAATTATTTTTTATTGTACGGGCTAGTATGAATTTCAAATCAAATCTCTATAAACGACTATTATATTTTGTGCACTAAGAATAACATATCGCACTTATTTTCTAGAATCAAATTGTAATCAGTTTACTTATATGTATGTATATTCAATGTGAACTTGCACCTTGAATAAAATATCACAGTTACTTTTCATGGTAATATATTATTACTAAATTTAGATAATATACACTTTACGTATGTTCACTTTGAACTGGCACCTTGAATAACATATCAGTTACTTTTCGTGATAATTTATTATTAGATTGTTTAAATTTTTGAGTACCTTCTTTTGAACATGGCCTGACCTTTTCATTTTTATGATTTTTTAGGATTATTTTATAGACAAGTATATTCTCAGATGTTTTTTTGAGTCAAAAAAGTTTCTAAAGGATAACGATGATATTATTGTTAGTAAGGCTGACGAAGGACAAACGACGGTGATCCTTAATAAAATTGACTATATGGAAAAAATGGAAATTTTATTAAATGACAAATCGACTTACAGAAAAATCAATAAAAATCCTGTTAAAAATTAACTAATAAAATGCATTCTCTCATCAAGTCTTGACTCGATAATGAATTGATAGACATGACCACGTATAATTATTTAAACGTAACCAACGGGAACTTACCATGATGTTACGGGTTACCGAAAATCCACAAAATCGATTGTCCATTGCGAATTATAGTGTCTTCATTATGTAGTCCTTGTATAATCTTTCTAACTACATCCATAATATACTTGTTAATTCGATTAAGAAACCGGGATCTTTTGTTAAGGATAGTTGGTCCTTCGTCGAGAGTATTAGGAATAAGGTGATTACTGATGACGAATTACTAGTGTCATTAGACGTTACCTCCCTGTTTACGAATATTCCGAAAGAGTTAGTAATTAGCGGCGTAAAAAAGCGTTGGATGGACATTTCAACCAATACGAAATTCAATCTTTCCCAATTTTTATATGTGATTGAGTTCATATTAGACTCTATACTAGTTTGTTTTTAATAGACAGTATTATGAACAGATTTTTGGCAGTCCTATGGGGTCTCCGCTCTCACCCATATTAGCGGATATCGTAATGGATGATTTAGAGACTAACTGCCTAGAAAGATTGAGTTTCAAAACCTCGTGGTTCTGCAGATATGTGGATGATATTTTCACAATTATCCCATGCGAGGGTGTTGATGAAATTTTGTCGGTTTTTAATGATTACCATCCTAGATTAAAATTTACTCATGAAATTGAAAGTAACGACTCGATTAATTTTTGAACACTACTGTGATGAGAAAGAATGGTATTCTATTAACTAATTGGTTTATGAAACCCACTTGTTCGGGTAGATATATCAGACTATTATTCAAACCATCCCTTTAAATACAAAAAGAATACCATTTTTAGTCTGGTCGATCATGCGATTTTATTATCGGACGACAGTTTTCATCCAGCAAACATCGCTAAGGTTAACGGTACTCGATACTGATAAACAATGGTTTTCCGTCGAATGTGGTTAATAAATTTGTAAAAAATAGGCTAAATTACTTGAGACACGAAAAAACGACGATCGCAATGTTGACAATGATAATTTTAGTGAAAAATTTGACCGCATCATAAAATTACCGTACGTCAAAGAACTAAGTGAAGACGTTTCGAGATTATTGCAATCTACGGGCATGCAAAGCGTTTATTGTATACCGAAAAAATTGAATACACTAATTAAACGTGTCAAAGATCCTTTGCCTTTAAAAGAAAAAACAGGAGTTGTATACAAAATTACTGCGCAAATTGTTCCTCATCATACGTCGGTCAGACTAAACGACAATTAGGCACACGCATAAAAGAACATTTTAATAATATTAAGGTACACAATAGTAATTATTCAGTCATTAGTAATCATAAATTCGATAATGGTCATGATTTTGATTGGTCCGCTCTTGAAATTTTACATCATGAGAAATATGTACGAAAAAGAGAAATCGCGGAAATGTTTTTTATAAAAAAATTTGACAACACAATCAATTTACAAAAAGACACGGATAATCTAAATATGGTTTACGATAAACTAATAAAGGTCTTTAGTTTGATCGAAGTATGAGTATCACCTTTAAAAAAGGTAAAAAAGGCGACCAGTTAAGGGCACGCCATTAACAAAATTATTTATTGCAAACCCATGTAGAATCCTATGAAAGATTAATCATTGCAACCCATTAGAATCCTAGGCAAAATTAACCATTGCAAACCCATGTAGAATCGTACCCATTGCAAACCTATGTGGAATCCTATGAAAAATTAACCATTGCAAACCATGTAGAATCCTATGAAAAATTAACCATTGCAAACCCATGTAGAATTGTATTAAAATTATCCATTGCAAACTTATGTAGAATCCTACATTGCAAACCCATGTACAATAGAATTGTATGAAAAATTATCGATTATAAACCCATGTACAATCGTAACAAAAGTAATGAAATAAAAAAATTTGCGACAAGTGAAAGTAGAAACTTGTACCAGTGGAAAATTAAAGTTGCAGACATATATATAGTCGTATAATGAATCAGTAAAAATTTAAATTTGCAAATGTAGAATCGTACCATAAAAAACTTATCTTTTAAAAAAAAAAGATAAACAAGATGCCAAGTCCATTAATATAAATAAAAAGAAATAAAAAAATTGTAGTTAAAAAAACTGGGCGCGCTGCTAAATAATATTCTAATGATATTAAAATTAAATTGTTATTTTTAAACTCATTGCAGTTAAAATATGTTTTGTGTTTAAATTAATTAATGTTACTTTAAGGTGCTAAATAATATTCTAATGATATTAAAATTAAATTGTTATTTTTAACTCATTGCAGTTAAAACATGTTTTGTGTTAAATTAATTAATGTTACTTTAAGGTGCATTGTAATTTTGAAACTTAGCAGCGCGCCCAGTTTTTTTTAACTACCATTTTTTTATTTCTTTTTATTTTATATTAATGGACTTGGCATCTTGTTTATCTTTTTTTTTTTAAAGATAAGTTTTTTTATGGTACGATTCTACATTTGCAAATTTAAATTTTACTGATTTATTATACGACTATATATATGTCTGCAACTTTAATTTTCCACTGACAAGTTTCTACTTTCACTTGTCGCAATTTTTTTTTTATTTCATTACTTTTGTTACGATTGTACATGGGTTTATAATCGATAATTTTTCATACAATTCTATTGTACATGGGTTTGCAATGTAGGATTCTACATAAGTTTGCAATGGATAATTTTTAATACAATTCTACATGGGTTTGCAATGGTTAATTTTTCATAGGATTCTACATGGGTTTGCAATGGTTAATTTTTCATAGGATTCCACATAGGTTTGCAATGGATACGATTCTACATGGGTTTGCAATGGTTATTTTGCCTAGGATTCTACATGGGTTTGCAATGATTAATTTTTCATAGGATTCTACATGGGTTTGCAATAGGATAGGATTCTACATATAGTTTGCAATAAATAATTTTTGTTAATGGCGTGCCCTTAACTGGTCGCCTTTTTTACCTTTTTTTAAAGGTGAGTTTTTAGAGATTATATCATTCATTTTTGTATATGATAAGCATCTTACATAAATAAGCAAAGAACCCGCCACCACCCCCGTCATATTTCAAAATACGATGGTCCTCTTTGCTTATTATAGATAAAAATAATTATCTTGTATTTTAAGTAAAAAATTTTTTTTGCACTTCACGAATAATGCAGAATGTAAAGCGTTGTCATGAAATTGCTAATATATTACGAAATCTTTTTTTATATAGGACTGATTGAAATACAATATTAAATGATTAAATAGTAATAGTCATAAACTTGATATTATAAAAATCTATTTAGGAAAAATTTTATAACTACTTTATTTTATATCGAATTTATAAGTATTATTTATTACCTATTTTTTGTAAAAATATATATAAACATTTTTAGCACCTCTAGGCCACTGTCTCTTTTTTACTTCTGCATCATCTATTTCGATCCAAATATTAGATAGTCCTTCTCTACATATGCTTACATAATGACCTTCATCGGTGCACGAACTATCATAAAGTATAGCACTCATCGTCTTGTACAATTGTCCCGCTATTAATACTTTAGTTGTTGGAACAGCACATAAATTAAATTTGTTTTCTGCTTTTATTAATTTACCATCTTGTGCTAAAAATAGTATTAAACGAATAACAATTATTTCTCTTGTTAATGTTACTTCATTTTTTAATATTTGATCAGTTCCAGTACAATATTCACATGATTCGTTGTGTAAGTGAAACCAATGTGAAAATGTAGAATTTAATAATTCATTAAGATTACAACTTTTTTTCTTTAAATTATCAAGGAAAATTGAAATAGCAATATTATTTTCAACAATAGTTTTTGTATTACCACATGTTTTGCATCGCTTGGTAGAAGTTACTTGATGTTGTATCAAATTTGTAATGCAATCATATTTTTCGCAAAGTGCCGTAAGAAAATCGTACGCGTTTTGTCTTACCATACTCGAAAAATATTCTCCTAAACATTGCCGTATTGCATATGTATTTAGATTACGCATTCCATTTTCATATCGATGCATTAATATACGTAAAACGTCTGTTTTATTGCAATTAATCAACTGCTGCCTAATAATATTTAAATGTAATAAACATTGCAATACTGTATTTGCATAACATGAAATCTTGTCTGTATTCTGAAAACCACGTATGATCCAAGCAGTGCTTTGAATTCTTTTATTTGAAACCGTATGTTGAATTTTTCGATCTGAATTTGATTTTTGAACAGAAGTAACTATTTTTGGTAACGCCCATGGAACATCTTTTACTTTACGACAACGTTCTTTTGACACAGCAATCATTTCTGCTTTCGGATTGTATATCTGTTTTAAACGATTATATTCAATAATAACTTTTTTGTTAGCTACTGCTGAAGGATCAAAGTTTATTAAATGCACTCCTTCTAGAGATGTTACTCGCGACAAGGCAACATAAATTTGACCACAACTAAATACAGAGTTGCCAATATCCATAACAACACTTTGCAAACTTAATCCTTGGCTTTTATGAATAGTGATGCCATAACTTAAAGATAATGGAAATTGTTTCCGAATCACATACGCTCTATCCAATACCTGAAATTTAGCCGTTACTCTTTCAATTTCATATTCTAAACCTGATGGTAAAAGAAGTTTAATCTTTTCTACGTCATCAGTAGATGTTTCTCGTACAATTGAAATTACTTTAGCAATTGTACCGTTTACAAGACCCAAACTGGCATCGATGTTACGCCGAATCATAACTTTTGCTCCAATTTTAATTGTAATTTGTTTTGAAAGTCTAGCTGTTCGAGAACTATCATCATCGTTATTTGACAATACTTTTAATACTTTCTTTTTTACATATGATGTACAATCAATCGTATCTTCAGCAATTAATAATATTTCTTTGGAAGTAATGCGACTTAACATTGCATTATTAAGGACATCACACATATTACAAGTAGGAAATAAACAAACAGTGTCCGATGATAAACTGTTAATAAAATCACATAATTCATTTAATCTAGATTCGAAAGAATCAGCTTTGAAAGATATTTTTCTACTCTCTAGAATTTTACAATCAGATTTTGTCACTAAACCAATACGAATTCGCGACAATAATTCACGGTATGAATTATCTCCTTGCTGACGCATATTGATTATTAATTCATTATATTCAAATAATGTAATCCATAAATTAACAGCATTTAAAGAACCAAGATAATTAGCAATTTTTTGATCGGATAAATGTGTAAAGATAAGATCTTCGCGTACAGGAGGCAATTGAAGCAAGTCTCCGAATAAAAGAATATGCTTTCGACCAAACCAACCATCATCGCAATCACTAGTATCAAATATCTCAGACAATCGAAGATGAATATATATAAAGTCAAATTAGATATCATTGACACTTCATCAATTACGAAAAGAATAACATCTTTAAGATCTGTTCGTAAAACTTTTAATACACAATCAGATAATTGTTTATGAGTTTGACCATGTTCAACGGGTAATTGAAGCAATCTATGAACTGTCAAACCATCTATATTAAATGCTGCTATACCAGTAGGTGCTGTTACAGCAGTATCTTTGTTGAGATTTTGTTTTATCCAGCATTTAATAGTCTTGATTAAGAAACTTTTTCCAGTACCACCTTCTTCGCTAACATATAATCGTAATATTGATTTATCGGACTCTACAGCATTGGTAACTTTATCAAATACTCGTTTTTGATCCGTATTTAATTTTACTATCATGTCAGATACATCAATTTCTTGAATTGCTCTATCACCAAGATCTTTAAAATCTTGCATTGCTTCACCAGCCTCTAAATTTTGAATACCTATTGCATTTTCAGGATCATCCTGAGACTGCTCTTTTTGCAAATCGTCATCTAAGCATTGCTGAACTAACTGTTTTGCAGTTTCAAATGCTTTTTGCAATTCTTCTAATTTTTCATGATATTGCAATGCTTCTTTAAGATGCAGTTTTACTTTGTGAAACGATTCGGTATAAGTATCGCATTCATTTTTAAGATCCTCTAATTTTCGCCATGGTTTAAACATAAGCAATAACGCAAAGAAATAATTTTCCGGCTGTGTATTAACATTATATCTAAAATGATTAATAAGATATCCGCGCTGTCGCCGTTTAAGATAACAACCATTACCTATTTTATAATATTCAATAAACTTATTTTTCGGTTTGATCTTTGAGATATCGTACCACTGTGCAAATTCATAAAGAGACGTATTTTCTAATTCGTTTGGTCTATGTGGATAATGATCATCTGTCAAAGATTGATAAAATATATCTGTAGATTCAGGATCAAGAGCTTCAATTTCTTTACGACTTTTTAATTTTCTATATCGTATTTGATTAACATCTAACCATCTGATGGTTGTATTTCGATCAGTTCCATACAAAGGAATACCTAACAATGTATCAGCAGCTTCGAGAGCTCCACATTCTCTATTATTCGTAAATCGCAAAGCAATATTCCAAAGATGACTCGCTAATGATTTGTTTTTGTTATCCTTACTATCAAGAATATTCTCAGATAATTCACTTTTTCCCGCTTTATTCATATATTTAGTAACATACCAGGTTAGCAGCGATGATTTTTCACCAATAAATTGTATATCCATATTACCTTCCCATGCAGTAAGAAGAACAGGATTATAGTCATTTATATTACCTTCATTATCCGTTCGAGGAAGATCGTAAAGTCTACTTTTATGTTTCAATTGTTTTCTACCGGCTATCGAAGTTGCCACATCCCTGATATTCAAAGTTTCAGTAACGGGACGAGGAAATCCAAAACGACATCGACGAATAACTTTACGTCCTACTTTTTTAGAACGAAGACAATAATCATTAAAATATCTTGGGAAATATTCATTTTTCGATTATCATACCTTAATACTTTTATGCACAGAATAATGAGACGAATCAGTTGGTGTAAAGAAAACACATAGTTACCTTTAAAAAAAATATGAAAATTGCAATAAGCAGTTAAATATTTTTTCTTTAAGACAACTATGTGTTTTCTTTACACCAACTGATTCGTCTCATTATTCTGTGCATAAAAGTATTAAGGTATGATAATCGAAAAATGAATATTTCCCAAGATACAAATGATTTTTATTACTCATATATAGTGAAAAATATTTCTTACTGATTTCTGTATTACAAGCAAGCATGGCAATTTTGAAGTGTTCATTATTATAAAAAACTGATATAAAAGCACACACAAAATAAATTTTACCTATTTTTATATTTTTATTATTTAAATTAATTTTTGAGTAAATTGAAAAAATTACAATTATATCTGCGATTATATACGCATAATAATTATAATAAAATAAAATATGAAAATAACATTACGCGATTTTATTCGGATAACTTATAATACGTAAAAATATATTGTGACATAATTAATTTTATTGATTTTTAAGGCAATAATAGCATTCGAAAGTGGACTTGTTCCACCAAATATTCTTGTAACCATCATTGTTCATTTTAATATGTTTACATGTGGCATAAATTCTTTTAGCATTTGCTTTTTGAAGATATAGCAACAGACACGCTATATATTTAAATATATGCATACTCATACATAGGCATTTATATAAGATTTATATAATTACAACTAATATGTAACATGACATTGTAGAGAATGTAACCTACATACATGTTACATACAAAAAGGTTACATGTCATCAAATCTGACATTGATCTGACATACATGTCCGGAAAAGTAATGCGTCGCATTTTTTAAAAGAATTTATGATCGCATAGGTTTAAAATTGTCGAGTATGACCTCTGCGTCAATACATTTTTGCCAACGCGATTTCCATGCGTCATAAGATTTTGGAACTCCTTGACGGGATTGTGTCGTCGAAGTAGCTACGTTGTCAACCGACTCGATGTTGTCCTTTGAGCTCCCTTCAGCCGGGAATAAAAAAAAGGAAATGGGATTATCTGCACAGTTGCTTGAGTTCTTCAAAAACTTCCACTCGGTGTTGCTTTTGCGCATCGGCAACACTCTGGGCACAAGTTTTGCAAATCTTCCGCATGGCCAAGTTCTTCGATACATCTCGTGAAAATGTTTTAAGTTCATAATTCGACATTAAGCGAACATGCATTCGACGGTCTGAATTCATAATGGCGCACACGAGTCACATTGTCGCGTTCGCATGTTGACACTGCGCGGGCCTCGTCGGCGAGATCTCTAAACATGTGCCATCTGTTTGACTGCGATTGGAAAGGAATCGTCCCCGAAAACTTTCTTGAGCATTTCAAAGTTTTCCAGCGCGTCTGTCCGCTTCACGCAAAACTTTATCGCATAGCGTTGCTCTATCGTTCTATCCATAACAAGTCGACGCGACCACTAAGCAGAGGTTCACAGAAGAGCCGTCTAACCCTCCAAGCGCATGGAAACAATTGAGCGACCTACCGTTGGAAAAGCTAAGTGGTACCCCCCTTCTCCCAACCGGTCCCATCGCTCTGCTGTATAGTCGCGTCACAAAAAAATGCGACGCAGTACTTCCGGACAAACCCTGTATATCTAACATCATGGATCATGGAGCGACATACTATCGCCGTCTGTGTAATACGTGCGAGATGGACATTTCCAATAAATGCATCTATATGTGTTGTGTACGTGTGATATATGTGTGCGCATGTGTGATACGTGAATACGTAGCACGATACTACTATGTTTGCGTGGTCGATGATGACGGGGACGGTCTTAAAAGAAATTTTTCATATTTCGACTTGCAATTATATATCTCTGCTTACCAAATCACGTAGAGCAGAAATAAAGACACTTTTATTATAAATTCAAACTCAGTCTATGATTAAGTCTAGTTAAACTCGATTGCTTCAGCCGTTATTGAGAATTCGAATATTATAAAGATCAAATGTCCGACTCGCGTTAAGATACACGGGTCTCGGCTACGCCCTTAACTGGTAGCGAGACACTACCGTGTCTCTTGATATAAAGAGCTTGAAACCAACACAAAAATATAGTAATTGTTTTCACCTATATCATGTCACATTTTAAGATCAGAAATTAGTTTCTATATAGAAAGTTGTGTTTTAGGTAGGATACATATTAATGTGTGGAAATATTTATGTTACTCAGTTACTTTTAATTAATTTTTATTTTCTAATAATTGTCATTATTATAATTTGTAGCAATTGATAAGGGCCGAAACCCATGGCCGAAACGTCGTGAATATAAATACAGATCATTAAAAGCCAGAGTTAGTTGATTAAATTACTACCCATATTTATAAAAAATATGAATTTTGTCCTATTAGTAATTCAGAACTAATGTTCTTATCACTCCTATCGTTCTTACATGCGTACATTCATATATTTAATGCGTTCACAGTTGTAGATTCAGAAACGATATTTTTTTTTCTTCAGGATTCTGTAAATGCGGTAGTACAATAAAATGTATTTTAGAAGATAAGGATCCATCCACTAACTGCGTGAAATTAAATTGCACGTATACACAAGGAAAAGAAAATTGTGGAAAAAAATATCTAAGAAATCCAACAAGGAAAATTATCGCGAAAAAATTGCAAAATAAATCAACTTATGTGTATCGTGCAGAAAAGGCACATATGCTAATGGAAGAGGGAGACCAGAGCCTCCGCATTTATATAGTTCTATGGTTCTACGTAAAACAAAATCAGAAGCGGCAATAACAGATTACGTAGATCCAGATGTTTTTAAAGCATTAGTGATTGTAAATTTTCGTCATTACAGAATGTAATACATAATATTGGATTAGATCCTTTTTTTATTCATTACTGGAGTAATCATCAACTTAATGTTTACAAAAAATACGCCATTGAAAACAAAAACAATTTGTGTATATTTGTTGATGCAAGCGGTAGCATCGTTCAAAAATTATATAAGGCGGATGGATCAAAATCCAAACATATGTTTTTATATATTTTGGCTATCAATTGCAAAAGTGGACAATTTTCAATTTGCCAAATGATAAGTGAAAGTCACCAATGTTAATTTCGATACATTTTTTTTTGGCAGAATGGGTACGTTCTGGTGCACTGATACCCAAAGAAGTGGTATGCGATTCCTCAAAAGCACTTTTAATGCAATTATTCGCGCTTTTAACCAATTATATAATATAGAAGATTACGCGGATTCATGTAAAAATTCCACTTTACCTAAATGCTATATTAGAATTGACGTCGCACATTTTATAAAATCATACTCTAACTTTTTTAAATCATTAAACAAAAGAGTAAAAACTTTTTATCTTCACGCACGTGGTCAATAATACTTTGCAGAAATGTCTCAAATGCTAAAGAAATAATTAAGTATATTTTTACAATAGCATTATCCGAACCGATGGCAATTTGGAAAATGGCAATTCTACGCAATGTGATGAAGCAAGAT